TAGCTGAGTAGTAGAGAGGGACTCCATATCCTAATAGGTGAATGGATCTTACAGTCATATTTTCCCCAGAAATGTTCTTGATTTCATTCTTGGGAAGAGATTTATTGGTGGTGTGCATTTTCTTGAAGAGATGGAAAACTCGATTTCCCTCGTGGTTCCTACACCTTCTGTTCCCTCAATAGCCTCTGTTTCATTCTTGTCAAAACTATTTATTATGAATTAGACTTTATACAGGGATTTTCAAGCCAGCTTTGAGAGAGTTAGGATGCTGTTTGACTTTTTGTGTCAAAACGTGGACTTCGTAATGTGGGCTTTAAAAAGACAGGGCATATTACACAATTTAAGCTCACGTCAGGGGTACCATAAATAAAGTGCAGCACTGCCGGAGAAATCTTTGGAGTTGAGGCAGATATTCAGCTGGTTAATTCAGCGCAAATGGCTTAACCCTCACGATTCCCTTTGGAGTTAGAGGGGACTCCATAGCCATATGCAAGGCTTAGCTCGGCTGTTTGTGGACCATGCTTTGATTTATGGGGGGATAAAAATAACCTGAAAAAACATATCTTGCTTGACCTCTGATGTTAAGGGAGAATGACAAGAACCCTAGTTCTTCATCACAGGGCTGCTGTGCAATGCAATCCTCTGCATGATTACTCACAAGTAAGTGCCCCTGTGTTCAATGGCGCTTACACTCTTCGAAGGGTGTGTTAGGCTGGCAACCTCATTTGCTTGCCCAAATCCTATTCCCAAATCCCAAAGAATTCTTGCTTCAACATTCCTGTCTTTCTCCTTCTCTGGATTATTGCAGAACTCACATAACCCAGCTACAGAAAAAAACAAACCAAAACATTCTGTTCCAAGCTGAGCCATAAATGCAGCTCACATGGATTTTGTAGGAAAAACCCATAGCCTAGTCAAGATGCAAGAATTTGGTGTGAGCCTTACATTCAGATGCCACTGTAGTCCCCTGCACATTTCTGAACTCTTGGTGGGGGAGCCCTGTTGCATCTTGATTGACTTAACCCAAGCTCAATTATTTTCAGTGTAAATGCGTTTGCTTTCCTTAGGTTGACACATAACCCAAGTTCTTCCTTTTTCTTAGACAAGCACCTGCACTCCTATTGTTACAAATCTGTGCATGTTGGGTTTGGCTGAATACCTGCAATTCAAAAATCACGCCAACAAAATCAGCCGAGAAATCTCCCTCCTCCAATTTTCACGAAGCTCCTTTTCTGGGGGGGGACCCCAACAACAACAACAACAACAACAACACCAGCCGAGAAATCTCCCTCCTCCAACTTTCACAAAGCTCCTTTTCTCGGGGGGGGGGACCCCAACAACAACAACAACTTATGACCAGGTTGCATGCTGAAAACAGAACTGGAGTGTCCAAAGCTTTGGGGGAGAGATGCATTTTCCTCTCTTTAAAATGCAGCATCCTTTCCCCCCTGCCTTCGCTGGCAATGATTTCCATGGGAGGGAGTTTCTCAGGAAGGAGAGATTTAGGCAGGCAAAGGGGGGAAAATGCACAAGGAAGCTAGGATAGTGGGAGAGGGCTGCCTGGTTGGATGCTGTGGGTTCAAAGCTGGTGTAACCATGGCATCTTTGGGGGAACTTTCTAGGGGAGAGACAGTTGGATGGGGCAGAAGAGGGAGGCTGGAATGGGACTGGCAGCCAAGGGCAAAAAATAGGTACACATCCTCATCATCATCCACACAGCTCTAGAGGAGAAGACTTTGGATGCTTTATCTCAGGAAAGGGAGGATGTAGGGCTGAGCTGCAGCTGGGGCACCACCCACTATGCCTGAAGGCCTGCACTATCCCTGGCTGATCAATTAACCCTTCTTTTTCGGGCCTCTCCCTTCACGGAAAAACGTCACGCGCACACTGACACACAACTACCTTTGCTACAGCCCCCCCAAAAAACAAACAAACGTGTGTACCTTCCACATGCTCCCACATGCTCCCCTTCAACTGACAACTGGACACCCTTGGGTACTTTGCCTAGATCTGAAGCTCAGACGGAACCAGGGGAATCCGGAGAAAAATTGATTGTTGGTGGAGAGAGAGAGATTGAGAGAGAGAGAATAATTTGGAAATCAGCCCTTCTTTATACCTAGCATGGAGCTACCTGGTCCTTCTGCCTGGGGGCTGATTTTCAGTGTAAACCCACCCAGCTGGGCACCCAGTGATGGGTCACCCTCTTCCCCCTAGGAAGGGGGCAAGCTGGCCTTGGGAACCGAAGGCGAGGGAAGCACCCATCATGGCAGCAGGAGGTGCACACGGATCCAGCCCAGCCTTGGAGCCCCTGCTTCAGACTTCCCAAGCCAAGCTGATCACTTCAGGCCCCATTGCCCGCCCCCCCCGTGGGTCTCCTCCCCAGATAGGGGTCCAGGAGATGCAAAAATACCAGAGGGGGCTAGAGTGTCTCAGGAAAAATGGTGTGTTCTGTTTCTTTTAAAGATTTAGGGGTCTGGAGGTCTTTAGCGTCGGGATCCACAAAAGCCTTAAGCAGAAGCAACTGGAGGATTCCAGTCTTCTTGGATTTCCTGGCTACCAAGCCACTCCGAGCCACTCTGGCTTCACTGGGTGAGGGATAACCCTGACCTTCTGCCGGCCTTTCAGTTAGCCTGTGCCTGAAAGCGGATCCTTTCTCCTTGCTTTGTGTAAACCCCCTTCAAAACAAAATGTATTTCTTCACCGACCTCTCTCATGCGGACTAGAAACCTGTGTGCTCCGGGAAGGAAAGAGAGGCTGATTTCTAACCCCAGCCTGTTTCTTCCCTCGGCGTCCGTCATCCACCTGCTCCAGGTTGAAGCGCAAGCCATCAACAGGTAAAAAAGAGGAGATGCCGTTTCTCCATTCTGAAATTGGGGGGGGGGCGCGCGCGGAATCCCACCGGGTCCCCCAGCATCTCCCTACCGGTCCAAAAGATCTCCAGAATGTGCCCGAGGAAGGAGAGAGGAAAGAGTTGAAAAGGAAGGGGGTGGGGAGGAAAAATGCCCGCCAGCTGCCGGGCTGCAGCAGATGCCCAGAGTTAAATGGGCTTTCTGGTTTCCGCCAAAAAGCTCGCCTTGGCTCGCCCTGGTAGCCAGGGAGCTTTAAGCCTCCTCGCCAAAAATCTCCTTTTAAAAAAAAAGTGCGATAAAGTCAAATAAAAATAACCCACAAAATTTATGTCTTTGACCTTGTTTTGATATTCAAGATGCGCGCGCCCCCCCCCGCCCCGAAATCGGTCCTGCTTGCCTTACTGGATCTGACCCGTAGCACAGCGCTGTGACTCACGAGGTGTCCCTCCCTCCCTTTTTTCATTTTCTCATCCGAGCCATCAGTGTGCCGCCGCCAACAACAACAACAAAACCCATCGCAGCCCAAAGGAAACCTATTATGGGTGGCTGGGCTCCTCCGCGCGGAATCCGCACCCAGACCGGGCATCTCCGGCTTGGCTTCTCTGCCTCCACCCCCGCCATCATCTTCAGAGCAGAGCCTGAGGATGGACCTTAGAGGAATGGAGAGGCTGGGCGTTGGAGGAAGCGGTGCCTTCCTGCCTCCCACTTAGCGCCATTGAGAGACCCATGTGGGGGGGGGGCAGCCCTTCATCACCCACCGTCTCGCCCCCACCTTGGAACTGCGCCCTTTTCTCAGCCTCCTTCTGCTCCTCTTCTTCCTCCCCCGCAGGAAGGCGGGCAAGGGGGAGGCAGAAGAACAGCCAAAACAGCTGAACCCCCCCCCAAAAAAAACCCCGTTGCTCCTCCAGAAGGAAGAAGCTCTTGAAAGCATTCTCGTCTCCCGCACGTGTGTACCCGCGGACTCGCCTCGGGACCCATGATTGGGTTGGCCGAGGTCTACGCGAGCCACAACTTCCAAAATACGTCCAGGGAGGTCAATGGGACTACTCGGGAGCAAGCTGGCGTTGGCTTGCTTAGGCGCCTGAAGGCATCTCGCGCAGCTTCCCAAGACGGTCTGGTTTGCCAGAGCCACCTGGCCGTGCCTTCTCGCGGACGTGGTTTCTCAGCACTGTATGGCATGGACACCCCAGCCAAGGAAGGAGAGAGGGAGAACTTCGTGGCTGGGGGGGGGGGAATCACAGGACCTCCTTCCTCCCCCTCCTCCCTCCAATTCCCTTTGCCATCTTTCCTAATAAATCACTGTAGGAGCGGAGGCGCGAGGAGAGGAGAGGGGAGGTTTTCAAAGCACCGACCGTCGCACTTTTTCCCACCGGGGAACGGCGCCCGAGAGAGAGAGAGAGAAGCTTCTCAGAGCACCCTCGCAGGGTCCTTTGCTCGCGAGTAAGCCCCGGGCCAGTCCAAGGGGGCTTCCTCCCATCCTATCTCTACAACCGCAGCCTCAGATGCCCGGAGCCAGAGGAAGTGAGAGGGCATCTTAGCAGGCTTTCCAGCCTTGCGGATTTCCATGCGTCGCACGCTCTTTCTCTCGCTCTCGCTCTCTCTCTGGCTCCTCTGGTCCTCTCTCAGACCCCCTTCTGTTCCCTCCGCGAGGAGCTCCCCTTTCTGCAGAACCGCCTGAGCAGGGCTTTGCAGCGGGGAAAGGAAGGGGAAGCTCTCCCTGGCTCGCCAACAGACAGCCACCTCTGCGCTCCCTCCCAAGCCGGGCGAAGGGTCTGACGGTCCCCCCGCGCCTCTTGCCTCCCCGTTCCAAGCCAAACTTCCCTCTCTCCTCATCAGCTCAATTTATCTTAATAAATAAATAAATAAATAAAAAAACGCGAACCACCAGCTCCCTGAGCTTCCCTTCCGAGCCTCCTCGGTAGTAAACTGGAGTTGAGAAGCCAACCGGGCGCATATTTCCACCGTGCCCACGGAAGAGCAGAAGTTTCAAAGACAGCCAGGCGATTTTTTAAAGGTTCAGCTCCAGCAATTTTGGGGGGGGGGACAAAAATAACACCCACCCCCCGGTTCTGGGTCTTCTCCCTTCCCTCCACGCCGGGAGGACGGAGACACGGTAGCATTTTAAAATATTAGAGATCTCTGAGATCTTACCTTTCAGCTCATCCGCGCGAGGAGATCCGTTGCCCCGGGTGGATCACATTCCAAAGGGAAACCGTGCACAAATCCGAAAGGAAGCAGGATATGGCCATAGGCTAGTAGGGAGTCCAGAAGGATTTCGCTCGGCGGCGTATGTGAGGAAGGAGGGAGGGGGGGCGCACAGAGCAGAAGCTTTTCCTTACCAACCCGCTCTTAAAATTTATATATATGTGTATATATATGGTCATTAAAAAAAAAATCTAAACCACACACGCAAAACTTTGCCCCCGAATTTAAAACGCGCGCGCGCGCGCACGGAAAAGAACCTTTTGGTTTCTCGGTCCAAAGGGGGGAATTTAAAAAAATAAAACCAAAAAATAAAATCCAACCCAAAACCAAGCAGCCCCCGAGCAAACAGCAAAGTGGAATTGAATGAGGATCGGTATCAAAAAGGCGAAGGATAGGAACGCGGGAATCCTTAACAAAGCGGCGGCGTTGGAGTCGCGGGGACGGGGAGGCTGCGTGGATCCCAAAGCCAGCGCCGGCGATCGACTGGGAGCCGCCAAGAAGCCCAGGCAGGAATTAGATCCCAACGGCGAGGCGAAGCGTCTGGCAAGCGGCGGCGCAGCGTCGGAGGAGGGTGGCCGCTTCCCTCTCCTTTCCTGGGGAGATCGAGGACGGGAGGGGGGCGGCGACAAGATCCATCCAGCGCCTTAAAGACCTTCTTTTATGCCTCCCTGAATCATCTCTTCGCCGTCGTCCTTCTCCGCCTCCTCCGCCTCTGCTCTCCCTTCGCCTCCAGAAATTCTGCTCCCGGATTTCGCCCCTCTTTGCCTCCCCAAAACTCGCGCGAGCCTCGGTCTACGACATAGCCAGGGGCTGCATTAAGGATTACATCAGGCTTTTATAAGCTTTCCAGCTCACACATTAGAGAGAGTGAGAAGGGGGGGGAAAAGGGGGGAGGAGGAGAAAGCAGGGGTGGAAAAGAGAAAGAGAGAGAAAGAGAGAGAGAGAGAGAGAGAAGCCGATAACCACACCTCTCGCTCGCTTGCGCCTCGCTTCGTACGAGAGGCAGAGCCGAGGGCGAGCCTTAGCATGGGCGCTCCATCCTTCTCTCCGCTTCGGATTTGGATTTATTTATTTATTTTCCAAAAAGAGAGAGAGAGAGAGAAAGATAACGGGGAAAAATCCACCTGCAAGCAAACGGGAAAGCTTGCCAAATCAGGGGGGTCTCCCACCCGGATAGAACTTTCTCCCGACCCCCGGGGAAGGAGCGAGCAAGGCAGGCGGCCAAGCAGGAGAGCCAGGAAGGACCAGAGACCCGGCCGGCGGAGCGCTCCGGCGGCTGCTTTCTTCCCCATCAATCAGCCCCCCAATCCACCAAGTAATCACGGTGTGCCACCCGGGCCAGGTAATAATCCCCGGGAAGATTACAGGCTGGGAGGGTTCGATAACAGTGCCCATCCATCTCGTCCTCTGTTATTCCCTTCTCCTCCTGCCTTCGCACTTTCCCAACATTAGCGTCTTTTCCAGGGAGTCTTCTCTTCTCATGAGATGGCCAAAGTATTGGAGCCTCAGCTTCAGGATCTGTCCTTCCAGTGAGCACAGAGTGTTGATTTCCTTCAAAACGGATGGGTTTCTTCTCTTTGCAGTCCAGGGTATTCTCAAGAGTCTATTCCAGCACCACAATAAAAAAGCATCAATTCTTCGGTGGTCAGCCTTCTTTATGGTCCACCTCTCACCTCCATACATCGCTACTGGAAAAACCACAGCTTTGACTATTTGGACTTTTGTTGGCAAGGTGATGTCTCTGCTTTTTAAGATGCTGTCAAGGTTTATCATCGTTTCCTCTCATGAAGCAAGCATCTTTTAAGTTCGTGGCTGCTTGTCACCATCTGCAGTGATCACGGAGCCCAAGAAAGTAAAATCTGTCACTGCCTCCATATCAAGGAGTACAGTTCATAGCTGCACACGTATTGACACAACTCATGCAAGATTCCCAAGGTTGTTCTTTCTGCTGGCTAAGCAAAACAGAAGAGATAAACTCAGGAATTGTTACACTTTCCTGAAGCATCAACGTGAGTCCAAAGCTTAGCAGCTCCGCTCATGATAGCCCCGGGGAGCCAAGCAGCTCCTTTGACCCGCAGGTAAGACCCCCGCCTCGCCCCCCAAACCCGCTTTCTCTCGCCCCTCTCCAGAGCCTGGCGATCCAAGCCGAGGCACTGCTGGCCCTCCGCCGGAGTTCGGAGGTGCTCCCTATCTCGGCCCTGAAAGGGGAGGAGAGAGACAGGAGGCATCCACAACCCCAGGAAGGCGGATTCAGACCCCAAGGCAGCGCGTAAACCCTCCTCGCCAAGTAGCTCTCCCGGTTCGCGGCTGCTCTTGGGAGCCGGCGGGCGGGTTGGACGCCTGCTTCCTGGCATGTCTAGGCTACTGGGGTACCCGATGGAGTTTATCTTCCCGGTATAGAGCGGTTTTCTAGGACTGCAACCCTTGGGAGTCCTGCTCCGGAGTGACATCTATTCGTGGGCCGCAGAGCGTAAGTGTAACACGGTTTGGCACACATATGCGTCTGCCAGGAAGTGTGTGTGTGTGTACAGATGCTCGCGTGCGAATCTAGAACATCATGAAGCCAGCACATCTCAGATTCTTTGCAATAAGATCCTCAAAAGAACCGGGCGGATTCTTCGCGATGACAATTCATTTGGACTTCAGCGTCTTCTTAACCCCAGCCTGGAAACGGGATTGACATCGCGGTGTGAGGACGCGGCGTCCTCAGTGGCCTGTCTGTAGCAAAGGGGACAAAGGGAAGACTCACGTGGTTCCCCGAGAGCAAGGCTCCCCTTTTGCTTGAGGGATGGGGAAAACCCATAAATCCCAAGGGGTTGGTATGTACCATTTCCAACCTTATTGGGATGTTTTGATGTTTGCCTTTCTTTTTCTAGGGACGGTATGAAGGATAGATTCTGAGAGTGTCTATTAGGAAAGGCACAGAGTCTGGCTCTCCTCCGGGGAGGCCCAATGGGGGAATCAGACTCCCAACCTCTGACTCCACAGCCAGATACCTAAACCACCAGGCTATCCAGCCAGCTCTGTGGTGGGAGTGAGTAGGTATGGTGATGGCCTTCATGTCCTCCAACTGTTTGAAGGACACCAGCGTTTGAAGGGGACGCTCGGGAAAAGAGAAATGTTCAATATAATGTATATGTGCTATCAAGTCACTGCTAGGTAAAGGTAAAGGTTCCCCTTTACATTTAGTCCAGTCGTATCCAACTCTAGGGCGCGGTGCTCATCCCCATCTCCAATCCATAAAGCCAGCGTTTGTCTGTAGACAGTTTCCGTGGTCACGTAGCCAGCACAACTAGACATGGAACACCGTGACCTTCCCACCGAGGTGGCATCTATTTATCTACTTGTATTTGCATGCTTTCAAACTGCTAGGTTGGCAGGAGCTGCGACAAGCGACAGGAGCTCACTCCCTCACGTGGATTTGATCTTATGACGGCTGGTCTTCTGACCTTGCAGCACAGAGGCTTCTGTGGTTTAACCCACAGCGCCACTGTGTCCCACCATATCACTGCTACCTTCTGGCAAACCACGGGCAAGCGAGGATTCAGACCCCGAGCCCTTGAGGTCTAATACCACATTTTGTGGGAAGGTTAAATTAGGGGAAAGACAAAGAGGAGAAAATGAGGCAGCAAAGATCCTCTGAGGAGAGACCAAGGATCAGCTCCACCTCTCTGTCCTCTACAGCTCACGCTCCCTGTGTAAGTAGTAAAGGTAAAGGTAAATGTTCCCCTTGACAATTTTTATCCAGTCGTGTTCAACTCTAGGGCGCGGTGCTCATCCCCGTTTCCAAGCCATAGAGCCAGCGTTTTGTCCGAAGACAATCTTCCGTGGTCACATGGCCAGTG